GGCGAGGGCGGGGGCCGGGCCTTCCCCCGCGGCCGGAGGGGATTCCGGGTTTCCGGGTGCGCGGCTGTGGTTTTTCCCTTTCATTTCCAGGAGCGGCCGGACCAGGGAGGAGCCCTTTTGGGGGGGGGGGGTTTTGGAGCTGCTCCCGTGGTTGTTGCTCCCGCTGAGGATGCTTGCGTTCCGGGGGGGGGGCGGCTTTTGGGGGGGTTTTTCGACCGGGGAGGGGGTGTTGTTGCTCCCCGCCATGGGGGCATTCCCGTCTTTTTCCTTTCCCCCCCCGGGGGGGGAAAGAGGAAGGTTTTTGTTTGTTTTGGGACAGGGATTTTGGGCCTTTTTTGGGGGGGGGGGGGGTGGCGGGGGTCATGAGGTAGCGCGATAAGAGCTTAAATCCTGTGCGTGTGTGTGTTTCATTCATAACCATCGACTGCTAAACGGATGTGTGTTTCATCAAAACTGACATCGGCCGCGTTTGCCTGCTGACCATGAAAGTCAGTCAGCCTCGTACTGCTGTACCGGGATTGAATTTAAAAAAAAAAAGACGTGTGTGCGTATGTGTATCTTCATCATTAGCATAGAATCGACCGCGCTCACCGGATCACCAGCAACCAGTCTTGTCGCCGGGCATGTGGAGCACAAAGACAGATCACTACTACCTCGTAACGACGTTCTTTACTGTGGCATCACGGGTTGTGTGCTGCTTCTGTCTGTGAATGCTTAGGTGCACATCTGTGGACGTGGCGTTGGGGCGCAGTTGTGCGTGATTTCAGGATCTGTCAGCACTAATACGGAGTATCTACGCGGCGCGCGGGTGCACAGCTGCTGCCGTTGTTGTCTGTGCGGGCTTCGTGAATGGATTGGGATAAGTAAAGGCCTTTTCTTTTAACCCTTCTCAAGAGCGAACACATCTTTACTATACTACACATGTGTGAGTCCATCAACAGCACCGGCGGCGCCATTCATCATCTGATCACGTGATGTCCAGAGGACAGATGGTTGAGGAGACACTCAAGGCCATATGCGATACACTGCGTGGAGTCCTACCCACTACACGTACCACAACACCGTAACGCTATGAATTCATTGCTAATCTGTCTCAGACTCTTTTCTATGATAGAGATGGATTCGTTGTGTCAAATTAAGAAAAATAAAAAAACTAAAAAAATATACATATACATATAGCTGATGGCAAAACTGGCGAACGTCGTAAAGGGTTGGGAGAGTTACAAGAGGAGCTGGGCGCGACAACATCTCAGGTTTCCCGGGCAGGCCTGTGGGGATGGGTGTGAGAGTGTGGGGAGAAGGCGGACAAATATGAGAGGGGGGGGGGCGCGAAAGCGAGGCCTATTGTAGGCATCTATGCATACAGTCAGTAGAGAGAATCTGGGAGTTTTTCCCTATGGACGCCGCCACACGCTTCGTTCGTCTCTCCCTCTCTGAAGAGAGGCCTGAGGGCGGCGGTCGGCGGGGAAACATTGACTGTTTTGTTAGATGTGCGTTTTCAAACGAACTTCTCTGCAAATTCTACGTGCGCATCTCTCTTGTCACGCGTGCGTGCCGCGTGGGCACGCACATGAATCTACGCCCGAGGCCGCCGATCGGTGCGGAAGAACTCGTGGGCAGCGCACTGCAGCACCGCAGCAGGTTTAAACCATTGTAAAACCGGTCGCCCCGGTGGTCTAGTTGGTATCCTCGAAACCTTCTAGAGGTCAGGTCAGGGGTTCGAATCCCGGCGTAAGCCAGCTTGTCTTGCAAAGTGAGTTCTTCTCTCGCTTCCGCTCCTGGCCTAGTGGATAGCGCTAGTTTGTGTGTACACAGAGGTAAGAGAGTGCTGAACTCTCCTCGTATTAAATATCGAAGGCAAAGTACCGCAGGAGGGGAGGGTAGAGAGGGGCTCTTCTGTGTGACCACGGGTTGGAATAAACGGCACTACTGCTGTGAGCGCTGATGTGAAGTGAAGACAAAAAAAAAAAAACGTGTGCAAATGCGCAGGAACGATCCCGAGTTGTCCCGAGCGCGGACACCTCATGGGATGATGGGCAAGTCTGCACCAACATACCATCGGCGAAGCGCGAGTGAATAAAACGCTTACGCTTGTCTGTGTTCTCTGAGGCTCACACGCTGCTGCCTGTTACTCGCTCCATGTGGTAGACAAACAAAGGGATCAAAGGAGACAGATGCACGCAAGATTCCATGACATAAAGAATACAACACAGCTGACTTCGGCCACAAGATGCGGTCTGCTGCACTCGCGTAGATAGCTTCGCTGGCTCGCCCTCTCGGGCAACATCAAGAGCAAAGCAGTAGGGGCACGAAGAAGCAACAACGACCAGGACAACACATAGCCTAGAGAAGCACGTGCGTTGTTCACCTGTTCCACCAGGTCGCGCATGCTGCCGAGGCTGCCAAGCAGGCTCCTCTTTCTCTGCTGCTGGGGCGGAGAAACAGCGGTGACCGCATTGTTATTACTTGCAACGTCGACGAATTTGGACGGCTTGCTGATGCTGCTGGAGCTCCTTCCCTTTCCCGAAGAATCCATGGCGTCGTTGTCGGCAGAGGAGACAGCCCCCCCCTTCTCCAGGGCTTTGTCCTTCTTGCGGCGCCTCATTTTTGCGCGTCTTCAACTCAAGATAAAGTCAAGTGTGCAAGGAGCAAAAGTGAGGGACAAAGGCAAGTTTCGAACCACACCAGAAGGCGTCTTCATCTACGATGGCGGACCGGGGATGGAATCCTGTTGTCCCCTGTTTCAAAAGGGCCCCCACTTTTATCCACGGAGCCCCCCTTGTCCAACGCAAGTGAGGGACACACAGAAGCAGCAGGGTCAGGCGTTCCCGCGACCGCAGAGCATCGGCAGAGGGACTGACCGGGGGACGAAAGGCAGTGTGCGCTGGGTCCAAGGTCGAGTAGAGGACCGAGGGGAAGGCTTTCGTTGGAAGCGTGTCTGCAGCAGTTTTGCACACTTCCTTTTCCGAGCCTTTAGTCTCTCCGTGACTCCGGGAGGGAGGGAGCGGCGGGGGGTAGCCATGGCGGTGACCGAGCAGCATTGCACGATTCTCTTCAATAGCGACGGCTTGCAGTCCATGCAACAGGTATGCTCACAGAGGAAACTCCATTCGCTGTCGACCCCCGCTCTTTTTGCACCCTGTCAAGAGCGCTGTTGTTGTCCGTGGACAGAATATCGATTAGCTTCTGGCCTCCTCTGCGATGCGCCGCCGGGGTGCCATGTGTATTGCTCGATGGGTGCGGCAATGCTTGTGTTTGACAACGCGGAACAAAGTTCGTCTGCTCTCACTTCTCAGATAGCACGGCAAGGACGCTTGTGTTGGTAAACCTGGATGACGCAAAGTACTCTGTGCACTCTGATTCCGGGGTGGGCAGAGACAGGGAAGGCAATGTTGGCTAGAACGCGTTTGTTCTTCCAATCAGAATCTCACACGACACCGCACCGGCGGTCAAAGCGGGCTCTCCGCAGGCGGCGGGCAGCGCCAAAAGAACTCATAAAGCAGTTAGACCCCTCGCAGTTGTTGCTGTGTCACTCGCAATGGCGACCGGCTGCACTGCCGCATGCAACAATCGCGCACGCACTGTACCTGTAGGTTTTTCCGCGTTTCACATGCACACACGCAATTCTCCCGACCAAGGTTTGCCTCAGATTTACAGTGCCACACAGAGTCCCCCCCCGTTTCCGCTTCAAACCTCGGTGGTATCTACGCCACAAACCTACCCTTGCTTCATTTAGGCAGTCTGTGCTGGTACTGGTGAGGATCAACACTCATGGAGCAACTGCGACACACAAGTCGTGCTTCCTCAGTTTTTTCTTTGTGTCCGCGTCTTTTCAGTCCGCTTCCACCCACACGACCCCCGACACAAGACCAGTACAAGCGACACACAGGAAGGACATTCCCCGTCGTAAACATTCCTCTTTCCACGTGTTCACGTGAAGGATCATTTTACGCGAACAGCAGGTAGATCTACGCCAAAGAGATGGGACGAAAACACACACACATGCAACACATAGCACCATGCAGTGCTGAGAGACTCTAGCTGTGCACCACGAAAAAATTGCGTTGCATTCGTTCGAACACCGCAGCCTCCTGTGAAAACCCTAGCGCTACGTATTGGACGAAGGGCTGAGGCAAGCAACTGTCCGTACAAAATGCTGACATGAACCCTGTTGCGAAGCTATTTGCGACGTACTGAGGATTGTGCTGAGGAAGATGCTTCGCTGGCTCATCCCAGCACGAGTAGGTCAAATCCCCCCATTCTACTCACCGCACGCATTCAACTTCGCGACATGATGCACACGGAGCTGCTGCCAATTACGTCTATGAAACCCTGAGCAGCTCTCCGCTACAGCGTGTATTCTGGGTCGGCTGAAATTGTCTTCCCGCCTACGCGTTGTTGGATGCCGGGTGTAAGCTGGGCTACCACGCTCACTCGCCGGCAGAGATCATTGAAACACGAACGAGGGTCTCTCCCCTCCCAACGATAACTGCCGTCTGTGCTGTGACCGGCGAACAATGTACTCTTTCTTCCCTCCGGCTACGTCTCGGTCGTTGTCAGTCTTCTCGTTTCGAGTTTTCGTTTTTTTGTTTTTTCTAGTTATGCAACTCTTTATTTGTTGCAGAGGGGAAGTGGAAACCCGCGAGGATGTACGCGCAATCTTGGGAGATCTCAAACGCCCCTGCCCAACAACAGTCAAGGATTTTGTACAAACGCCAAGCCCCCCACAGCTGCTGAGAATAGAGTAAACGCTCACGACTATGTAACGCACCTAATGTTCAGTCCTAAGATACCGCTATACGCCGCGAGGCATTGAGTAGCTCGTGTCCGAAAGAGCGACGTTGTGATATTATGGTCGAGAGCTTTCCAAAGACGCAAGCTTGGGTTCCAGGTGGTTGGCATCCCCGTTGTTGGCGACGTGTCCAACGTGGTACAGTATGTTGAGCCCCGGGTTGTCGTATTTCTGGTGCGTGATGTAGGTCGGGGTGGCTCGTTTTTGATGACGCCGTGCTCTGGTGCCTCTTGACTGCCTATTTGGCGCGTTTTCTCTTTTTCGTGTCGAAGCCTGCCGTGACGCAATGATCAAGCACGGACCTGCGATGTGCAAGCGTTTGAAACACGCGCGAAATAGTGATCGAGAATCTCTTGTGATTCTCCGTTTCGGGGTATCTGACCTCCAGCTGCACGGCCTGTCTGAAGTGTACCACGTATCAAACACGTATGACACACATACCGCGGACGTGCGCGACGATGTCAGCTGTGGACCACCACATTTGTTGAAAGTGCCTAGAGTCTTCGAGCAGACTTGGTGCACCAGTACGCGGCATGACGCATATTATCGAACAGAAACTTGCCTTGTATCCCTTCGTAGGCCTTTGGAGCACAGACACGCACACAGGTGTATGCAGCAGGAATGGTATTGGTCTTCTCGTTGGTACTTCAGAAGCAGGACATTGTGGTCCAACTCCTGCTCTCCCTCTGTCGGTAGAACCCGTGGACTAGGAAAACGTGTTTGCGTTTTTTAGCCCGCTGTGTGTAGACACTGACGTATTTTTTCGATGGTCCGCCGGTTGTTGCGGACGATGATAGTAGCACGCAAGCACGTAACTCTCTGTCGCATCATGTGTTCAGAATGACAACAACGGCCCCGTCACCGAACAACTGAACGAATCGCAGGATGACATCATCAAGAACCTGGAGCAGCCGAATATCTCGGGGAAGGTGACTGGCATCAAGCAGGCCATCCTGCTGTTGCTGTCGGGCGAGACAATGCCCAGGTAAGCGCAAGGTCAAGCCCGCGTCGACGACAAATCGAACAGGGTTCGTTTTGTCCATGAAGGGGGGCCTTAAAACGACGAGACAAGCTGCTATTGGCCCGAAAGCGTTGCTATGTGGTTGGTTGCCTCGGTTCTCATGTCCCCTACATACCTTCTTTTCTCTCTCTCCTCTTTCTCTTTAATCGCGCGCCCTCTGGGCTTTTTGGGTCTTGCGCGCAAAGGCTGCTGATGTCGGTCATCAAGGGGTGTTTGAAGGACGACAGCAAGGAGCTGAAGAAGCTGGTTATGATGTACTGGGAAGTTGTGAAGAAGTACGACGCAGAGGGGAAGCTCCTACCGGAGATGATCCTGGTACGTACATCCACAGATACTGGTTTTCTCCGGCGCCATTTTTTTTTTGTTTTTGCTCGTCCGAAGTTGCGGTTCAGTGTTGCATCGATTTCCCTCCCTCAGGGGTATTTCCGGCGCTAAGATTGTGTTGGTGAGGCTGAAACAAACGGTGTAACATGGGGAGTCACAGCAACGCTCCTGGTGGAATGCTGCGGCTACGCTTTTTGCGTGATGAAATGGGCCCCATGAGCTGTAAATCCATGCCGTTGTGATGATCCCCGGGAGTTTCGGTTCTTTGTTTTTTGTGTATCGTGTCGTGATGGCGACCAGACCAGGACCAACAACCCTCTGGTCCTAATGCACACATAACAGGATAGCAGCACTCTTGGCTGGCAGAACGCGGGACACCGAAAGAACTTGAGTGTGGTATTATGGATCACCTCGCACCTCCCGCCCAGTTTTCGGGAAAATTCTCATCGCCCGCCCTAACGTTTGGTGCTCGTCGCCTTCCCGCCCCTCCCCCTTTTGACAAAACCCAGGTTTGTAATGCCCTGCGTAACGACTTGAACCACCCCAACGAGTACGTGCGCGGGTGCACGCTGCGGTTCCTGTGCAAGCTCCGCGAGCCGGAGCTCCTGGAGCCTCTTATCCCGACCGTAAAGGTGCGCAGGTCTTTTATTCGTGTGATGTGCTTGGTCTGTTGTTGTTGTGGTTGTAGGTTGCTTAGAAGGGTGTCCTTTGGAGCGTGCTCGTGAGAACACTAACAGCAATATCATCACTAAAAGGGTGATGTGAGATGAAACTGAACGCTCGATTCTGCCAGCGGCTATTGTTTTCCAAGCTCGAACAGCCCGCACGGGTGACGTGTCTAGACTCAAAGAACCCAGCGAACCATGCCGACCCACATACAAATCTGTCGACAGTTTCCATCATGGCGGTACGGTGGCCTGTCCGTGCTTCGATTGGTTATTGCCGCAACCCAGTTTGCCGTCTTTCTGCTGCAAGTGCCCTGCCCTTGTCCTCCACGCTGCATGTCCTTACGGGCGGGCTTTTTTTGTGTGTTGCTGCGTTGATGCTGTGGGGGTTCACACTGGTGGTGAAATTTTCTTTAGATTTGCTGTGTCCTTCCTTGCATTACCCCCCGGTCCCGAAGACGTGACGAGCTGCTGTCTTGTATGATAAGGGCTTGCTGATTGACCCCGACACACGGAACGCACTGTCCGCCCTGCCACTACCCGCGTGCGCTGCTCAGCTTTGCTTGGAGCACCGCCACAGCTACGTTCGCCGCAACGCCGCGCTTCTGTGCTACTACGTCCACAAGAACTTTGGGCAGCAGGTAACCAAAAGGGTCACAGTGTCTAGACTAGTGGCGCGGGGAGGGAGGGAGGTAGGTGATGTTTTGTCGAAACCGAGCGCATGGCAGCACTGGCGGGAGACTGACGTCACCGCTTGACACGTTCTTGTTTTGAGCCGTCTAGGCCGAAGCTCCCTTCCGTCACGAATCCCAGAAGATTATCCCGTGGTTAATATTGCATTGGTGGCGTATTGCTGGCCGCGAGCGCGTTGTTCGTCTCCTATTAACGGTATTTGTGGCCGAACGAGGACGACGTTTGCACTTGAATATCCGCGGGTTATGTAGAGAAGTAGCCGAGGTTTCGGTGTAATGAGGCATTTTTCTCTGCTCTCTAATATTTTACCGCGACGTTTGAACCGATTTTAATCTCGCCGCATTTTGTGACGGGCGCAGCTTCTGCCCGACGGACCGGAGCTTATCGAGCGTTTCATCGCCGCCGAGGGGGACACCTCCGCCAGGCGCAGCGCCTTCCTGTTCTTGTACAACGAGTCCGAGGAGCTGGCCATCGACTTCTTGAACAACCACATGGAGGACGTGAGTGCCCGCGGCCGGGTCGGTTGTAGCGTAGGTGACGTACGATATCATACTCCCTGGACTGATGCCCAAAAGGCTCGATTTTTCCACAGCGGAAAAGAATGGCGGCACCGAAAACGGCGGCGTTGAAGCCGTCTGTCTCGTCAGCTCTTACCGGCTGGGGAAGCACTCATTATGTGAGAATGAGCCATTTATTGTCGTAGACGGAACAATCTGACGCTTAATGTAACTGAAGAATGTACATGCATCATTTTGTTGGGACCGGGGCTACGAAGAAGAGACCTGGCCTACCCCCCTTCTGGACACTTTGGGGAGAGCACGTACTGGCGGAGCAATCCATGCGTCAGAATGGGTCATATTTTCCCGCGAGAAAAAACTCGTGTTTTCTCACGCATGCGTGTGCGTGCAGACCGCCGGGCTCAGCGCAGCATAGTCAACGCATCCAATATACCACCAGCAAAAATAATGTTTCCAACGGCATGTCTCTCCATGCGCTGCAACGCCGCTTCTCCGTCATTGTGTGTTCTCGCTATTGATCAGGTTCCGAAGTTCGGCGACGGCTTCGCCTTGCTGGTGCTGGAGCTTTGCCGGAAGGTGAGAGAGAGTGCGTCGTCGGCGCAGGGAAAGATCCGGCATTTTTGGTGCAGAAATTCGGGTTTTCGTGGTTTTTGTGTGGTGAGAAGCGTGTTTTGATGCCGTTCCGACAGTTCTTATTTCGGGGCCAATCGCCATCTTTTCACGTAAATTGTCCCCCAATTTTTTTTTCGGCGTTCGGGTCGTTCCGCAAATGTGTTCTTTGGATGACGAAAGGTTGATTTGTGATGAGAGATGCACACACGCGTCAAAACTCGGTTCAACATTGGCGTGTTCCCTTCGGTCATTGTTTTTTTTGTTTGCTTGTTTCGTTTGTCCTTGGGTTGGCAGGTGTGCCGGCGAGACCCCAGCCAGAAGTCTCGGTTCGTGAGGGTGCTGCTGTCCATGCTCCAGAGCCGCTCCGCCGCCGTATCCTACGAGGCTGCCTGGACCCTCGTCAGCCTTAGCGGAGCCCCCACTGCCATCCGGGCGGTGAGAGATGGGGGGAGAGAGGGAAACAGAGAGACGGGCATAGGGAAGGAGGAAGGGAGGGAGACGGAGAGAGAGAGGGGGGGGGGGGGAGAGAGAAAGAGAGACAGACAAAGATAGACAGACAGAGAAGTGATCACGACCATGGAATTCCATTTCCTCAACCAACGCACCACTGCGCTCGGTGTCGCTTAGCAAGAAACGAGCGTGTATTGATTGTGTCCGTTCGCTGGCATCCCAGACGTCCAATCGCCGAATTGTTGGGTCGCCGCCGCTGCCGTCACCATTGTTAAGGCTGCTACCATGTTGTTAACCCGCGTGAAAATCCCCAGGCGGCAACGACGTACGCTCAGCTGCTCAACACCCAGAGCGATAACAACGTTAAGCTCATCGTGCTGGAGCGCCTGGCGGGCCTCAAGAAGCACCACACCAAGGTGCTCCAGGAGGTGCTCATGGACATTCTGCGGGCGCTCTCAAGCCCCAACGTGGACATCTGCCGCAAGACCCTGGAGGTGGCCATGGACCTCGTCACCCCGAGAAACATTGAGGAAGTGGTGCAGGTGCGTTGTCTTGTGGTCCCCCCCCCCCCCCTTTATTTTAGTGTACGGGTCATGTTGCGTTGACGTTGGTCTTTTGTCCATGGCGGTGGTCATGAGAAATTCTCATCACGACGTCGAAGAGGATGTGTATAGGTCGGCTTTTTAACCCATGCAAACACGTAACACGCATTGTTTTTTTTTATTCAGACCCTTCCATATCGTTAAGACATCCCAGTAGTGGTAGCTTTGAACGCTTGTCGTCGTGTTGAGTAATACGCATCGAATTCTTACACACATGCAACACATGTAATTTATCATCGAGACTTTTACCATTCGTTACGACATAGTGGTACTTTTTTGAACATTTGTTTTGCTATCGCGTTGTGTAAGATACAACGAATTATCGCTCGGGTTGTTCGATGTTCCAGGTGCTGAAGCGAGAGGTGGTCCGGACCCAGGAGGCCGGCATGGAGAAGGGCACCCAGTACCGCACCCTGCTTATCCAGGCCATTCACGGATGCGCCACCAAGTTCGCCGACGTCGCCGAGAGGTATGTACGTGGTCACGGAGGAGGCGTTTTGGGCGAGGGTGTACTCATGTTTTGCATGCCCTAGTTGTTCGACCGTTGATCAGAGGACGGAGCATTGTTCCCACAGGACTGATCACCGATGATGGCCCATCCATCGTTCAGAAGGTGTCTCAAGAATGTTATCATTCTCCTATGTAACCTACATGGGGGGCGCGTTGAATTGCAGATGCGCCACTGCAGTGGTGTGGATGGAACAATAGTGGTAGAGGTGTGGGGGGATTTTGGTGACCCGCGCCGTGGGTTGTGGCCGGGGTTGGGGATAGCATGCGTGAGGGAGGGAGGGAGGGAGGGAGGGTCCACGCCTGCGCTGTACTTTCTGGGCTTCTGCATGACACGGAGGTTGTAGCGGCAGCGATACGACCGCATCCGCCTGTGCTTTCGCGTTTGTCGCACATTTGGGGTCTTTGAGGCTGTTGGTCGGTCACTCGTTACGGTGCTTGGAAGTCTACATAGGCAGAAGATCAATCCTTGCCCGCCCGACCATCACAACGCCTGCCTCCGTGTGTGTGTTTTCCCCTTTGTTCCTCGTTTCTCATGCTCTCGCTCCCCTCCCCCCCCCCCCCCCTCTATGTTCCTCTCTACAACTCCCGCTCCCCCGGCGCGGCCATCTTGTACTCCCACTGATGTACAGCGTGGTTGGCGTGCTGATGGACTTTTTGAACGGCGACGGAGCGATGGACGTGATCCTCTTCGTGCGCAGCATCGTCGAGCAGTACGAGGTGCGGGACCCTCACGATCGCCGTCTTTCGAAAACGCCGCATGTGTTTTGTACCCCCGCCAAAAATATCTTTCGTGGTGTATACGAGCCGCAAAAGCGTTCGCCCCCCCCTCTCCTTGCGCCTTGTACACCAGCAGTCACCCTGGGTGTTGTACTCCGCATTTGCGCGCTATAGGCTTTTCCTGCGGCTTGATGTGTGCGAACACTGTGTTTTTGAGCCTCCAGTAGTTCTTCGTGCATAGCCAGGCCCTGCTGCGCCAGGATTGCGTTGTTTATCTCGAGGCTGTTCGCGTTGATGATGCCGAGTTTCAATCGGTCTAAGAAGACAGGCGGTCTTGAAAACACCCCCCTCCCTCCTGGCCATCGGCGATCGGCGATCGGCCCTGTGGGAACAACGCTCCGTCCTCTCGAGGACGCGTGGTCAGTGGTCTAACCGCTAAGGCATGCAAAAAAACAAGAGTACCCCCCGCCCCCCCGCCCCCCCCTCTCCATTATTCCGGTTCTTGTCGTCAGGGCCTCCGACCGTCGATCCTGTCCAAGCTCATCTTCTCCTTGAGGGACATGGTCAACGGTCCCGTCATCGCCGTCGCCATCTGGATATTGGGGGAATATTGCGAGGTAAGGCAGTAGTCAGGGGTCCCTCTAGGGTAGAGGGCGGGTGGCCCGCCCCGTTGGGAGCTGGTGAAATCTGAACGGGGCCCTTGGATTGGACCAGGGTCTTTTTGACGATGGAGCTTCGGTTCTCGCCCGGCGCGGGGCTTCGCTTTGGCTGGATCAAGTCTGTTGAGTGAAGACAAGGATATACTCTGGAGTATCAACTAATAGACACATATCAAACTACTGTATCGCCACCCCCACAACGCAACGCACCATGCCTCTGAGTTTTTTTTCTTGTGTTTTGTGTTTTGTGTTTTGTCTGTTTGTATGTTTGTTTTATTTTCTGCCCAACGCAACGCAACGCAACACATGATTCTGATTTTTTGTTGTGGCCTTGTTTGTGCTTCAGGACGCGGACGCGATCACGAGCGCCTTCACCGAGCTTCGAGAGTCGGTGGGACCCATGCCTCTCACGGAGGCTAACTCGTCTGCGGCGAATGGAGGGGCCGACGGGGGCCCCGCGAAGGAAGGGGGGGCTGCAGAGGAGGGAGGGGGCGCCGCGGCGGGAGCGGGGGGGGGCGGGACTACGGTGACGAAGAACATCGTTCTTTCCGACGGGACTTACGCCACGCAGACCACGGTTCAAGGTGCGTGCGGTTGTGCTGTAGGCGGGCCTTGCTTGTACTGGTGTTTGGTACCGTGCAGCCGAATGTAGCGGAACAGTACAACCCCCCCCGACTTTCACCCCGTTGGGCAGGCGGCAGCTGCCGTACGCACCTTTTGTATGTGGTTCGTGGTTCTAGTGTGCTTGCGAGGCTCTTTAATTCCACTGGGAGAGGGGGAGAGTTAGCGTGTTGATGGAGACGGCTCTCGTCCTATTGGTGACCGGGGTATAAGGCGGAGTACGATCCACAGGCGGCGCTAGACCCAAGCATACAAAGTGTCGTCATAAGGACGGTCCGTCTTTTACACGTTGCATACCATGGTACGTGCGTTGAGAACACCGTCAAGTCCGTGCTCGGGGCGAAAGGCTCTTTGCTCCATTTTGTTTTTTTCTTGGGGAATTTGAACCTTGTTTTGTCTTTTGCGTGTGACCACGGAGCTTCGTTGTTTATCCTCCAACTAAAGAGCAGATAGGGGAAGAGCACGTGCTGGGTAGGTCAGAACATTTTTTTATGTTGTCAAGAACCAACAACAGCAACAACTCATCCCTCCTACGGTAAAGAACCGGTACCAAAGATGTGACACGCACGCCATCATCTACCCGACCATCGGTTCCTCTGGACATCAATCACACCACCCCGCCCCCGAGTGCGGCGCACAGCAAGTGTACGCTATCTGCTGTTGCTCTGGGTTTTTATGTTTTACTAAAAATATATATTTATCCGTACTGCTGTAGGCGGTGGTGTGGCGGCGGTAGCCTCCGCCTTGAAGAGCGACGCCCGCCTCCGGCAGCTGCTGGTGGGCGGCGAGATCTTCCTCGGGTCGGCGCTGTCGGCATCTCTTACCAAGATGACCCTCCGGGCCATGGACCTGCTGGGGGACAGCTCTCCGGCTGCGAAGGAGATGCAGGCACGTATAGATGGATATACATGCTTTCTACTCATTTTGATTATTCTTTTGTTGTCTTAAAACGTATGCGTATGCTTTCAACTCATGTTTTTGGGGTTTCGTGATGTTTTGCTACACACACGCCATTGGCGTATTGATGTAGTAGTCATGACGAGGCAATTGGTTGTACTTTTACTTGTTTGTTTTTTTTGGGGGAGGGGTTGCTAGACACACGCCCCCCAAGTGGTATGTATGTCATGACGCGGAGCCCCTGTTAGATCGGTTGTTGTAGCAGAGGGTCCTCTACCCGTCCGGATGCACCCCTCAGCGTACATATGCCACGGGCTGGGCCAGTTGCCGTCGAAGCATCATTGTGATGTTCTCGGCAACGGTTAATTGTGCGTCGAAGTACCGAGAAGTTGTTTTTGCCACTTGTACTAGTGCGCTTGTGTGCTCCTCCATCTGTCTCCTCTGGTAGTTTGTGTCACATTCGCATGACGTCTCTCTCCGGGAACCTGTTCTACTGATCGTGCCACTCACGACTTCTCTCTCTCTCTCTCTCCCGCTCTCTATCTTCCCGACTTGACAATCCCGTATGCCTACGTTTGTCCCCGATCTAAAATATGTGGGCGTCTCTTTAACTCCTTTGCCTCTCTCTTCTGCCCCTGTGTTCCCTCCCTCCCTCCCTCCCTCCCTTCCTTCCACGTCGCTCGTGGGGTCCCTGCAGATTGCAACCCTCCAGATCTTGTGCGGGTTGGCGAAGGTCATCGAGGCGCGCAGCCTCACGCACCGGGGAGCTTACGCCGACTGTTTGGAAAGGGTGCGTGTGCAGCACTGCTGTTACTCCCATAGGTTACGGGTCGCTCTTGCTCTTGCTTGTCATGTTACGGAATACGAAAAGTGTTGAACCCGCCAAGAACTGCAGCACAGATAAAAGCAACCCTTCCATCCCTTCAGGTAACGACCCCCCTCCCCCACCCTATCGGCACGTCTTGTGCTCAAAGGCTGCATCAGCGCCCCCCATTAGAGTGGCAGATGTGACATGGAATGAAGACAGCGTGCGCACGCTCCTCCGCATGCTGACAAGAGGACCGACCCTCTTAACTCTTAACAGGTGACGATGTGCTGTAGGAGCCTGCTCGACCCCGCGGCAAGGGCGGTCCTGAAGCCTACCCTGCTGGACCTGTGCCGCCAGAGCTTCCAGCAGCTCCTGGACAAGGAGAAGGCTGCTCAGGCCAAGCAGGTGTGTAATCGGAGCTAGCTCGGTCGGGAAATTATCAGAAACGGCTGGTTTGTGTGTGGTTTTCTGTTTTCCGTCTTCCACAACGCATCAATACGTATGTGTGCTCCTCTAATTGTGGTGTACAATACCAACCGTTTTTTTGCGGCTGTGTATTTGATGGCATCGAGCCCTGAACATAAACCGTCCGTTCTGGGCCCGAATGCAACCGATACATCGAAAATAAGGCTGTTAGATTTGCCATGTGGTACATGATCGTTTTCTTGAGCGTACGAGCTGAAAACAATCGTATCGAGGGACGAAGATGATTTCGAGCAATTCCATTGCTTCCTCCGGCGGGCAAGTCTTCCCTTTTTCGTGTGTCCACTCGCTGTTCTTTCAAAATCGTACAGACGTGCCCCTGACAAACGGCGCGTTTTTCACTCCCGCTCTGGAACACGTTGGATTATCTCAACAATATTTTTTTGTTGTCCGTCCTTGCCCGCTCCCAGGCGGAAGAGATGGAGGGACGCCCCAGGAGCCAGCCCGACGACCTCATCAACTTCCGACAGCTTCGCAGCAACGCCCTGCAGGCAGCAGAGTTGGATATCTACGACGGGGACGACATCAGGTCGGCGCCCCGCCCTCCCGGCTTCCGCACGGCGCGCTGCTGTGTTCGTTCGGTCGCCATCCTTTGATGGTGGTCGATTGATTGTGTTTTGTCACTCTCTCCGGTGCCTACCGTTGTATGTGCACCCCACGGTTTGTTCGTTTTTTTACGCACCGTACCGCACTGCATCATAAAAGAAAACGCACCGTGAACTTTCCTGGATTTTCTTTGTGCGGGTGTGTAGGTGGTTGCGTTGCGTTGCAACATGTCCGTTTTTTCTTTGTGCTTGATGTGCAAATCGATGTGCTTGTTTATCGTGTCGCGCCCTTGCCGCACGGCTGCATGCTCCGTCTTATATTCACGCCCAACGCCCAGTGCTCGATCAAATCCCCTCCCGCCCCCGGCCGTCTCTGTGCTGCACCGTTGTGTGCGTGCTTGTGTGTGTGTTGTGTCTGATTTTGTTGTTTTCGTCTCTTCAGCAAGGCTACGGGGATGGACGCGCCTGACACGGGGCGGCTGAGCCACATCTACCAGCTGTCGGGCTTCGCCGACCCTGTGTACGCGGAGGCTTGCGTGACCGTCCACGACTACGACATCGTCCTCGAGGTGTGTGTGTGTGTGTGTTTGTTTTTTTACTATTGCTTCCTCCGGTCCGTCAAGTATGGCACGAAGTGTTTTTTTTTTCAGCTTGCATCGACCGCGCTATCTGGCTGACAAAGGAAAAGACGTTAGCCTCAGTGCGGTTGAAAACACGAAACACTTCTGAAGGCAATGATCTGGAACCCGGTAAGTATCTTTGTGTCTTTCCTATTAGCGTCGACCTCGCTGACTGGCTGACCAATGAAAAGACGTCAGCCTTGTGGTTGAAAACACAAAACGCTTCTGAAGGCCACGACCTGGAACCCTGTGACTGAGGGTCATGGGGTAGTCTACGCTACTCTCCGGATAAAAGATAGATACCGTAGCTGTAATAGAAGAAAGCTGCACGTGTTTACCATAGCTGCTACTACTTTGGACGCGCGGTCGTTTTGGATAGTGTTCATGTGTGTGTATGTGTAGAGTAGAGTATTAGCATCGACCGCGCCAACAAGCTGACCAATGGAAGTCGTCAGTGCCAGCGGGTAAAATCAAGGCCACAATCTCTGTGTGTGTATGTTTGGTTGTATGTATTTCTTCCATTAGCATCGACCGCGCTTTCAGGCCTGCCAATATGAAAACCATCAGTCTTGCTTGCTTGCGGTGGAACACCAACCCCCCCCCCCCCCCCCACC